CTGGTTTCTCTTCTCTTCTCTTTACTCTTATTCCTCCTTCTTGTTCTTCCTCTTGTAAATCTAACCTAACTCGAAAGCCATTGATATCTGAATTTGTTTTCTTGTAAATGGTCAAATTGGGATAAATGTTTTACTGGCTTGTTAGTATAGTATGTGCATTTGATTTTTTTTGGTAAGGAGTGGATTGAGGAATTGTGTGTGTGCTATAGTTGATGAACCAAAGAGGGGAAAGTCTGAGTACCCCTCTCTCTTGTGAAATTAAACGCAATGGGCTTTAGACTTTTAAAATGGGTGGCAATAAGAACCCACGTGATTTGGGGAAGGTGTAATTTTTGTGAGGAAGATGACTTCTGCGGGCCGCATAATCTCTTTGCGGTTCGCACAATTATTGCATATGACCCCCCCTAAATTTCCCTAAGCTAGAACAGGTTATGCGATTTCTTTTGCAATGGCAAACCTTTTATGTGGTCCACAAATCTACCGCAGAGTGAGGCAGGACATCAGGATATCTAGCCTTCAAATATGGGGTCACTTTACGATCGTATAACCACTTATGCGGTTGGTTTTGCAATTGCATAACTGTTGATGACTTTCTGTTTCTGCACATATGCGATGGTTATACGGTCCGCATACTTGATATGCGATCGTATAACCCATTGCATAGTGGGCTCATTTTTTTGTTCTTTTTCTTATGTCTCTAATAAATTTCCCTAAGCTATTTCACTCACTCCTACAATGTTTCATCAATAGGAATGGCACCAAAGAAGTCCAATCGAACGCAATCAATGCCCAGTTGTAGACAGAAAAGGGCTACAAATCCTAGCCAATAGGCAGTGCAAACAAAATGTCAGCAGGCTCATGCACTCCACATTACTACGGAGCACTCCTCCCAGCCTAAAGAGGAGGAGTCATAGAGTGACCTCGGACCTATTGCTGATCTATAGGTTGAGGCACGAATGAAACTGGGGGAGGACCTTAACCTCCGGTTTGAGGCCAAGGGCTCCCTAGATCTATACAAAGTGGGCTTTCAAAGAGGAAAATTCTCGAGAAAAAGCAATTGAGTTTAAATGGGCTATCAAAGCATTATCCTCACATACTCGAGACATCAAGCAGAGGAAGTGGGAGTTCTTTACTAAGGTCCCGGATGAATACAATGAGACAATTGTGAGGGAGTTTTATGTTTCATATGGTGCCTCAACGAGTGCTTCATAGAAGCGTAACATGATCTTTGCAAAGTCTTTCTTAGTGCGAGGGGTTGAAGTTAGTTATGGTGCTGAGACGATCAATGAATGGTATTTTGAGGATTGGCGGTTAGGCACAACTGAATATGGTGCTAAGTCGCCAACAAACACAATGAGCGTACCTGGGTTGCCTCTATCATAGCAAAGGGGACACCGGCCTGGATTGACCCTAAACACAAGATTTACAAGGAGGATCTCATAAGGAAGGGTCGATACTAGCTTAGCTTTGTTACATCCCGTCTGATGCCGTCCAGAAATGAAACTGACATCAATATTGAGAAAGCACTCCTCATTGTGTGCATCATGACAGGCATCAAGATTGATGTGGAGGAAATAATATTCCAAGAGCTGGGAATCAGAGCCAACCAGAAACAAACCTCACTTCCTTTCCGCTGCTTGATCACTGCTCTTTGCTAAGCTTCAAGTGTGCCTCCTCTGCCTAGGCATGAGAAAATGGAGAAGGCTTTTAAAGACATCAACATCATGAGAATCAGTGATGTAGTAGAAAAGGAAACTGCAACTCAGTCAGAGACTCACATTCCTCCTCCAACAGATATAGCAGCATCAGAGGTCCTTGCATTGCCGAACACCTCTGAGGCCCCAACTACTTCCACAGCCACTCCACAGTCCTCTATTGCATAGGCCCAGGTCCCTTTACGAGCTCTATCCTTGCTAGGTCTACTTGCTCAGCACGCCAATGCTAATGCAGACCAGCTAATCAAGGAAATTCTCAACCTCATCCGGCAAGCATTGACCCCTATCCAATCCTTAGTGACTGTTCTTCAGCAGCAACATCAAACTTATGAGGATCGCCTCAAGCACGTTGAAGCGCATCTTGAGAAGGTTGAGCAGGGTGAGGTTGGAGGTATGCCTCAGCTCCGGAAATATATGGATGATTTGAAAGCTGAGCTGCAGAAGATGCATGTCGCGCCCCTTTTTCCCTCTTATGCAATCGGGAGATCGGGTTTATGACATTTCGGGTGTAGGACAACTAGTTCCTTGGGAACTAGGGTTTGCATTTGAAGAGTTGCCACCTAATGGTTTAAGGCGCAGTAGGACACCTATAAGGGTTCACTTCTAAGTTCGTTTGATAACCAGAGATTGGGTAAGAGCTTGAAATTATCCTAAGGGGAAGGTATTAGGCACCCCTCAGGATCCACTAGTGTGGTTCCCGACTAGTCAGTTTTATGAATTTGTGCAATTTAGCAAATAGACAAGTATAAGCTCAAATAGTAGGGGTTTTAAATTTAAACACATAAAAGAACAATTAAAAGACAAGTTCTTGAAAAGAAGTTTGCAAATAAAGGGCAAGGGGGTCCTAGGTTTATATTTAATATGGATCACATCAATGCGATACCCGGTATGACACTCCTCAAAAAAGGGAATACACGTGGTATTAGCGCACCGGCCATCATACCCATATCTACCCTTTCCACCCCATTATGGTATTAAAGCACGAAATGGTGTCGACCTCTATTGCATGCTATTACCCGTACCTTCCTATCAGTCCCGAAGGAGTTTAGGACTACTATTCTTAAAGGGGAGGGATATTAGGCTGATTTTAGGTTTTAAAGGTGAAAAAGCTAAGGCGACATACAAAACATATGGGGTTGCACGCTAGGGGAAACATGTAACAAATAAGAGGCTCATATATACCTCCTCAAACAAAGCACATAAATAGCATGACTTAAACATACATCTAAGGTCTGAATTTAACATACTAAGGTAAGGGAAGTTTCAATTATTGAGGCAGACCAGTTTATTACATAACTCAGATAAGAAGTCTGAATCAGGCCTACCTGCTGGTTGTAGCAATTGCTAATTAACAAAAGGCGAATTCAATTTTATTGTTATTATCACCTAAAACATGCCTAAGTGTTTGGGTGAGGTCCTATAGACATGATATCTAGTTGGTTTAGAATATGGCAAAGCAGTTCAATTTTAAAGCAACGATTTGAGATCCTACAGGCATGCTCTCTAAACTGTATTAGTAGGAAATGAGAGAGTTGTTTAAAAACTAGTTAAGAACAGTATGAATGAGGCTAATTTTAGACTAGACTAATTTCGGATCCTATAGGCATGATATCTATTATTGCTGATTTAATTCCTATAAAAATGATACCTAGTTGAACGTGTAATGAAGCAGGCAGAATTTACTCACAATTCCTATAGGCATGATTTCTATAAAAGGTACTGATGTTTTAAGCGTCAATACTACACATGGGGGGGGGGTGATTTGTGTAGTACCCAATTTTTGCTTAACTAAACTATAGAAGAACCTGGTTCTTCTAGGTGTTCCAACTATTACTATTTGCGGAATAAAAATACAGAAAATGGAACTAGAAAGCACCAGGAAAAAGATAGACACAATGGAATTGGTTCTTCTATCTCTTTCAAGTAGCTTCAGGAGTGCACACTTAAATCACACACAAATTACTTGCAAAATCGCCTTGCTCTTTTGCTCTCAATTTAGTTACCTTCTGCGTATATGCATTACCTGTAAAAGAGAACAACACTGACATTTAATAGGTTAGTAATTAGAGTTTGATTGGAACTCAATTGCTGCTCTCCTATCGTAGAAGAGTTCATGATGATCTCAAACTCTAACACTATCTTCATCCTAGATTGTGTTCTCTTCATATAAGGAGACTTTCTCCCCTTATCCAATATGCAACCTTTTCGATCAGATCATGAGATATTGCTACTTGATCAGTAGGACTTATCTCCTTCATGTGCATCTCACATGTATAGGTTGATCATGACTGTGCTTTACAAGATGGACCTGGTCCATGACTGAGTTCTTTTTGTCATTCTTCAAAACTTCACCTATTCTTGGGCCAACAAATTCCCCCTTTTTGATGATGACAAACTCTGTGCTTTTTACTAGTTTGGAACCTGTAAGAACTCAGCTTAACCATCAATACTAAACTTAGAAAATTCACTTATCATCAAGGACCAGGTTAATTAAGTTATAAATATCACTTATTTTCAGAATGTGTAAAGCATAATGTCTCTTCCCCCTTTTGGCATCATCGAAAAGTTGCATACAAAGTGTTATACCCAGATTTTAATAAGTACTCATGGCCACTGGGGTAACTGCAAGTGCAATCATGGTGCAATCATCAGTAATCAAGCAAACATATTTAAACTATCAAGGACAGATTAATCATTGAACGAGAGCAAAACAATAGTTATCATTGACAGAGATATGTTGCCACCAACAATCCACAAAAAGAAAGAAAAACATTCAAACATGAGCAAAAACAAAAGATAGAAACATTCCTAATCTGGGTCACTGAGGTACTAAACAAGTTCAGGAGTCCTAAAGATTGGAGGAACTGGAGTGTTGGATTTGTGTTTGGAGAAGACTCAGAATGTTATGAAGAATTCCATCATTCTTCCCTTTTCTTTGGCAAGCTCAGTTGTGAGACCATCCCTCTTAGTTTCCACTTCAATCAGACGAGCCTTGAGCCTAGCTATTTCAGCATCCTTGGCTGCATATTCCTAAACCAGAGTCCTAACTTTGCTGTTGATGGGTGCCTTCTGAGATGAACCAGGTTAATTTGGGATAGCAGTGACTGCATAGTCACAAATGAGAAGAGTATTGATGCCAAAGTGATCCTTGCTCGAGGACATTTCCCATTTCTTCAGAGGCACATTGAGCCCATCTAGAACTGTGGTTAGAATAAAGCCATAGGGAGTAGCATGGGCCTTGAAGCCGTTTATGACCCTGTCTAGCAGCTTGATAATGAAGGCATGCTAGTTGATTTGCTTTCCTCTCTCCAGGCACTCCATAAGAACTAGATCCATGTAATTAGCAATGTGCCTTCTCTCCTGTCTGGGCAATAAACACTTCTTGAAAAATTCAAACAAGACCTTGTGCTCAGGCCTCATTTCACTTTTCTGCACAGCCCTGGCTTCATTCACCTCTTCTGAATCACAAAACTTCCTGGTGATTGCAAGAGAAGTAGGGATGGAGTCCAAGCAGGGCCACCTTTGCCTTGTATAGTCATCAAATCTATCAGAGGGTATGTCTTGGATCTCTCCCAGTTTCTTTGCATAATTGCACTTGGACTCCTTTCACTAGGCTACTAACAATGCTATCCTTAACCGCAACATTGGCCATAAATTCAATTAGCTCATTTCTGGCTAGCCTACCATCCATCTGAAGGACCATGTCCTTCCATCCCTGAGCAACTAAAGCATCCACCAATCTCATCATTCCTGGTTCCACCAGGTCTTTCAGCATTCTACCCTTTAAAATCTTTCTTTTGCCAAACATGGCAAGCTTATCATGTTCCTTCTCAGAGTCATTTACTTCTTCTTCTCCACTCCAGTCATCATCTTCAGAAATTTTTGATTGTTTTTTTTTCACTACAGATCTTGTCCTCTTGGCTAGTATAGGTTCAACAGCCTCAGACAAAGAGAAAAACTTCTTAGAGGAGGTCTTGGGCTTTTTAGGCTTGGGGGTAGGAACCTCCATTGATGTACCCCTTTCTTGATGGACCAGTTCCATATCCTCTTCCTCAACAGCCTCTGAGGATTCTGCAATCTTTCCCTTTCCTTTATCCATTTTCTTTTTCTTACTCTCTTTTAAAGCCCTCTGTAGATCAACTTCACTCTGTTTCACCCTACTTCTTGTGGCTCTACCCCTTGGCATTGAAGAGGCAGTAGGTGTTGGGGATGAAGCCTTTCTTTTCATGGAAGGCTTAGGAACATTGGGGGCTTTTATTGTGGGAGTTCTACATTTCTTTGGGTCATAGCTTGCCCCAACCTTTTTCAGTAGGTCTGGTAGGGTCTCTTCAGTAGATGAAATAAGTTCATCTCTCTGTGTGCTCAGATGAACCAACCCTTCAGTTGCTTCCCCAGAACCATTTCCCCTTGACTTCATGCCACTCTTTTCTACCCTTTCTTGTGCAACCCCACAGACAACAAGAACTGCTCCCTTCCCATTTCCCCTCTCATCACCACATACACCCTCTCTCTCTTTTTCTTTTTCAAAATTCTTTTTACCTCCACTCCTTTGTGACCCTGGTACTTTTACATCCTTAACAGACCCAACCAGAATAAACCTAGATTCTATATTCTCAGAAGAAATTGCCTTAGATGGAGATTCTTCAGTCTTTTCAGAGTTAGAAGACCTAGGTCCTTCTCCCTCAGTAGTGGATTGATATGATTTAGAATCAGAGCTAGAGCTGGAGTTTTGGGCCTGGCTTGCCTTCAACTTTTCATTTAATTTCTTGCTCAAAGCCCCAGATGCTAAGGTCTTTCGAGCAAGCATTTTCACCCTATGCAGTCTAGGTTTTGGCGGTGTACTAGGTGGAGAAGGTGTGGATGAATTTGAGGGAGATGGTGGTGGAGGAGTTCCAGGATTGTCTTGTGGGTTAGTCATGATCGTTGTTTTCTTGAGAGAATTTGGGAATTTAGAGTTTTGGAGAAGAGGGCAAGTGAAAGTGAAGAAATGTTTTTGACGGTTTGGAATTATAAAGATGGAAGGATAAATGATGTGTATTTAAAGAGAAATACACATTTAATAGGTAACGACAACCTTTTTCAGTGGTCAAATAGAGGTCTAATCAACTTGAAATTCCAGATTTTGAATGATCGGTTTATCTTCCCTAGATTTTAGGCAAAATTTTCGGTTTAGAGTTCTAGGCAAACAGAACTGGTTCAATGCTAACAAATAGAATTTTCTAGGAATTTAACAAGTATAGGACTTCTGCTCATGATTGAATTATTATTCTTTCTAATTGTGCAGAGTATAGAAAATATACCTTAGCTTTCATATGAACCCATACTGATAAACCAGATTCTTCATTTAGAAGTCTCTTGAACATGCGTCAAATGCCATAATAGAGAAAATTTTGTAAGAGATCAGTGAGTCATATAAATACATGTCACAGGAGTATACTAATTAAAGTATGAAACTGAGTAAGAATTAATCTAGATAATTACACAAGTTCAGAATTCCTAGCCAAATTTGTTTTCTTTTATTTTTTTCATTTTTTTCATTGTGCATTCTGAGCTGGACCTATTAGGTGATCTTAATCATCCCTAATTCCAACCTGTTCCTCTCAATGTTTTCTCCACTCAATGCTTTAGTGAAGATGTCAACAATTTATTTATTAGTAGCACAAATTCTATGGAGATCAATCCTTTATCATAGTTATCTCTTAAGAAGTGGTGTCTAACATCAATGTGCTTAGTCCTCTTATGATGAACAGGGTTCTTTGTCATACTTATAGCACTAGTGTTATCACAAAATATAGGAATTCAACCAACTTCAATGCCAAAATCTACCAGCTGCTGTTTGATCCATAACAATTGAGCACAACACGAAGCAACAACAACATATTTAGCCTCAGTAGTGGATAAGGCCATTGAATTTTGCTTTTTAGTGGCCCAGGATACAAAACATGAGCCAAGAAAGTGAGCCATACCTGAGGTGGTTTTCCTATCCACAAGGAAACCTGCATAATCAGCATATCCTACTAGATTGAAATTACTACCTTTAGGATACCAAAGACATAGATCAATGGTGCCTTTCAAATATTTTAGTATCCTCTTGACAACAATTAAGTGAGACTCTTTTGGATTGGCCTGAAAGCGAGCACAAAGCCCTACACTGAAAGCTATATTAGGTCTGCTGGCATTAAGATACAAGAGTGAACCAATTGTACCCCTATACAACTTCTAATCAACTGATGAACCAGGTTTATCTATGTATAATTTAGTGGCAGTTGCAATGGGGGTGTCTATTTCCTTTGATTCATCCATTTTAAACTTTTTGATCAGCTCTTTTGCATACTTCTGCTGATGGATCATGGTTCCATTTGGGCTTTGTTTGATCTTTAGCCTAAGAAAAAGTTAAGCTCACCCATCATACTCATTTTAAACTAACTCCCCATTAATTTGGCAAAATCCTTACTTAGTTTATCAGTGGTGGCCCCAAAGATTATGTCATCAACATATATTTGTACTACAAGGAGATCCTTACCTTTTTCCCTTAAGAATAGGGTACTGTCAATTTTACCCCTTTTGTAGCCATGTTCAAGCAGAAATTTGGACAGTTGTACATACCATGCTCTAGGAGCCTGCTTGAGTCCATAGAGAGACTTGTCTAATTTGTACACATGCTCAGGACATTCCTTGCTTTCAAACCCTGGAGGTTATTTCACAAACACTTCTTCTTTCAGGTAGCCATTCAGGAAGGCACTTTTGACATCCATCTGATGGAGAGTGAATTCCATGTGTGCATCAAAGGCTATGAGGAGTCTTATTGCCTCTAGTCTTGCAACTGGAGCAAAAGTCTCATCATAATCTATCCCTCATCTTGTCTGTAACCTTGGACCACAAGTCTTGCCTTGTTTCTTATAACTGTTCCATCTTCATCAAGTTTGTTTCTGAAGACCCATTTTGTACCAATAATTGATCTATCCTTGGGTCTTGGAACTAGATGCCAAATTTGATTTCTCTCGAACTGATTGAGTTCATCTTGAATTGCATTCACCCAATCTGCATCCTGTAAAGCCTCAACAACATTTTTAGGTTCAATAAGAGATAATAAAGCATCAAAAGCACACATATTCTTTAGTTGTGATCTAGTTTTGACTCCAGATGTTGGATCAATGATTATGTTCTCAATAGGATGAGAACTTTGATACTTATGAGGTTTCACAACCAACTAATGTCTACTAGATGTTTCTCCCATGTTCTGTTGCTGAGGAATAGGGTCATTAACAGGTTCTTTTAGGGGATTTGTTTCAATACCTTTTTGATCAGTTCCCCCTGTCAGGTTTCCCTGAATGGAAGAACCTGTTCCATCACATGTTCCTTCTTTTGGTGCCACTTTAACTTGTGCTGAGACTTCAGTCAAATCCTTTACCAATCCAATGGCTTTATCTTCATGTTCTTGTCTCTCAGAAAGAACGTTAGTTTCATCAAACACTACATGCACACTTTCTTCTACACACAAAGTTCTTTTATTGAACACTTTATATGCTTTGCTATGTGAAGAATATCCCAAGAATACTCCCTCATTATTTCTGGGATCAAACTTACCTAGGGAGTCTTTTCCATTATTGTGCACAAAGCACTTGCATCCAAATGCCCTAAGATGGGATATATTTGGTTTTATCCCTTTAAGTAACTCATAGGGAGTCTGTCATGCCCCAAAATCCAAAGAGCGCGACCGGTGCTCAACCGAGTAAACCCGACTGAGCAAGCCTGTTAGGATTCATTCTACCCAAGCCAACTCATGGTTAAATAGGAGATGGACTCCATTGTTCAGAATTAATAAGTATTTCATTAACAACTTCCCATTTCATTTCCATTAGTACTTTAAGTCATAATTATCAAAGTATTACAAGTTTTACAAATCTTTGCCAAACATCAATATTTCTATTTTAAATCCAATACCCGACACTACCCATAACCTGTCTACGGAGCCTCTAAACATAACTGAAGAGAAATGTAATATGGAAATGCCGGTAACAAGGCTCCGGCTATACCTCAAATACAAAGTACATGATAAACAGATGAATCAGGACCCCAAAATGAAGTGGGGTTCACCAAGTCAGCTGAAAGGATGATGCGACTCTAGCTGCGACCAACACTGCCTGCTATAGAAATACCTACATCCATTTAAAGACGTAACGCCCCTGGCAAAAGGGACGTTAGTTTCATCGAATAACACTAGTATGTATAACTAAACACCATCTAGTTAGATAGAACTATCATACCAGAACAAGAAATCATAAACACCTTCTCATTAGAAAGAACTAACAAACAAGAATAAGGAAATCATAAAGGTCAATTAAGAGCTTTAACAATCACCACATCATCAAGCAAACGAACCATGTAATCTTTCACATAATTTCCATGACATTAGTTCGGGCCACTTGATATTGTTCATCATCATTCATAATACCACCGCTTTCTTGAGCGGAGTCCGATCACGACCGATCGGCTAGGTCGCCTCATTTGAGACATGTACCTCAATCACAATCTCATTCTCAATTGTTGGAGTTCAATATCAGCACAATACCACCATGTGTGTGGCATGGTGTCCGATCACAGCCCGATCGACTAGGTCGTCTTACCAAGACATTGTTCCTTTCTCATTAATCATCTCATTTCAATCTTTATTTCACATATATCAATTCATAGGAACCTGGGGCTACAATTATCACATCGTACTTGGCACTAGGCCACATTTCATAACTCAATCCCTTCTCTCCCACATTTCACATTATTTCCATATATTTCACATCAATATCAATTTCAATAACAAGCCATTCAATTCAAGATGTCAAGTACACATAGGAGGAATCATGAATCATGGGCATATACAATATTTCAGAAATCATACACCTCAAGTTTATTAACACTGGAACTTTAAACACAACAGATTCTTCCAAAAAGGAGGGGACACAACATATCGCAATAAAACACACATCAAAAGCATAAGCAAACAATTACACCAATTGTTCTTGAATTACTCTTTTCCAATCATAACAATATACAATTTCAACATCGAAGTATGCAACAACCCGAATTACATTAGATGTACTCATAAGGCAAAAAATTATCTCGGACAACCACTTATGGCATAAATTGTGTACAAAGCCTTTAGGACACTTTATTATTGGAGTCATTTATGGAAAGCAAAGTCGAGGCTTATTTCATAATCTGTTTCATATTTCCTCATGTCATAGGCATTGTAAGCACGTGATTTTTGCCCTATGAAAGAATTACTCCCAAAAATTCAAAATAAACCGATTTTTCTTGGTGTGCAATTTTGAGAATTTTTGTGACATTTTTGGATAATTATTTGTATTTGTCTGTGCATGTTTATTTGTTAAATTGATAAAAATATAAAAATATGTCGCATTTGCATTCAATATTTAATTCTACAGTTAGGAGTAGTTAAGTTTGTTTTACAAAATGAAAAAATCATAAAAATATGTATTTTTGCATTTTTAGCATTTAATGTCCAATTATACAATTTTATGCTTAATT